GCACCAATTGAAGCCAGCACGTCTGCGCAAAATCTCGTACCAGCATTAGATGACAGTATATCCTTCAGCCCAGCCTTGGTATTGCTGCCTCCAGAGGCTTTGACGATGACGACAGCAGTCAAACCGCATCCGGTACAGCAAACTCAACAAAGGTATGCAATTATAGCTCCAGCAAGAGGTGTATTGCTGGCTGTAACCTGGTGATATAAACGGCCTTCGAGGAATTGGACATCGACCACAACGTGACCGGATACGCAGAGATCACTCAAACATCCCAATGATATCCGACCCAATTGTGGAGATTACCATGCCTTCGTGAGCAAACATTTGCTTCTCCAGCTTTAGCTCAGAAAGCGAGTTTGCTAAGAACCATGGGTACGCATTGGTTTATAAGGAGATCACTTACGATAACCAGGGAGCTAAGCGTGCCATCGGTTACAGATGGGATCCGCATGGATATCCGCGGAGGCACTCGCTACTAGCTGATGATTCACGGCGTCGGAATACGATCTCAAGAAAATGCGGCTGCACGATGGAGGTGCATTTGGTGAGAACTCTCAATGTACTCGAAGAAATCAAGTAGTCACTTAAGCATCGAGACAATGCCCTACCTCATAATCACGCGCCTTCCTCGCACCCTGCGTCGCATCCAATACTTTGAAGGGCTCCTCGGACGGAAGGCGTCCGGTTGGCGATTGCAGTGGACAACGAGACTGGGGCTGCTGCACGACAATCAATAGCTCGTTTACTCATTGAAGATCCAACTGTGGTTATAATTGCCAGAGATGTTTTCAACGAGAGAAGTAGAGCAGATCTTGCTGTGGTTGGGGGCTACTCAAGAATCGAGCATCTTTTGGAGAAACTGAGAAGGGACCATTCTTCGTGTGCTTCAAATGTGATAGCAGCAACCACGTGAGCCAACTATTGTTTGCCCACCATGACGCCATGGAGATGTATCGATCCAGCTACGAAGTTTTACTACTAGATTGCACATATCGAACAAATCAGTTCAATCTACCTCTTCTTAACATCGTCGGAGTGACAGGAATGAACACAACAATTCAATTTGCGCAAGCTTTCATGAGAGGGGGGAGTGGCGAGGACTACAGCTGAGCAAACGTCAATTGCATACTTTGCAGGAGCAAAATCATATCCAACACCCGCAAGTGCGCGGTTTAGTCTTGCAGAATGCACTCGATCGTGATTTTTGGGCATTCGCATGTGCTTCTTTGCCTTTGACACATAGCGAAAGACGCACAAGCCCATGCTCGACGCAGATTGTTCCCGAAGGAGATAGACCCTGCTTCAGACCAGTTGAGTGACTCGTCGGCCCATGAAGCGTTTTGCGAAGCGTTTCTTCGTGTAGTGGAGGCACGCACAGAAGGCGATTACAACTTTATACAAGCTGACCTACATCTTCTTTCGCTCGTGGAAGTTGCCAACATTGACGAAACTTGGCTAGACAAATGGAAGTACAGAATTGTACCCTGTTGAGCCGATCGTGTCTTGCATTTCGGTATGCATGCCACTTCTCGTGTGGAAGGCTATCATGCAGCCATGAAATGTTGGCTTGGCTTCTCGACGGGAGACTTGTTGACGGTACATATTCGTATAGAGCATTGGTGGAGACACATGATTGACACACACAAGGCTCTAATCTCCAATTCCGGAGTATATGCTCCAAATCGTCTTCGAGGCTGGTTCTTTGCTTCTGTGCTTAAGATTATTCATTGAAACGCTTTATTTTGTTGTTTAAAAGCATTGCAGCGTGTAAACGATCGACTACACCCGTGCACTGGCGCCTTTCGACAAACGTTGTGGGATCCATGTGCGCACATTCTACATCAACTCTTTATTGCCTCAAAGTACTTCACCCAAACCTTTTCATTATCACTGGTGGATCCACCGTTTCCAAGCACCATGTGAAGTACCACCTCAAATTTTTGATCCAGAGCGGATATCGGATCGCCGTGCGCGTACGGCATTGGAACGACGTAGCATATTGCTCAAAGTGGACCGCGTGGGACTCAACGAATACCGTCTCAATTCGAAGCCTAGATCGTCGTCGTCGCCTGCTCGCCTGTTCATCTGTTGTAGGCTCCGAAACTTACAAATATATTTGGAATTTACAAATCCTCCCTCATTTATTTCTGCGACTTATGGGCAAACCACATGGATAGTTATGAAACAGGCAAAAATTGCAATATCTAATCTTCAGTTCTCATTAGAATCCGTGACTTTTCAAACGAAGTCATGAATACTGACATCAATATCCATGACAATTAATGCATACCCACCGCTTTTGCGATGAAAGCGGACCCAGATCCATGATCGGAGCTGAATACAAATGATAGCCAATATGGATCTACTACTTCAACTTCCTGTATCTATGATGAATAACCTGGGTCCATGCTTATAGATAATGTACCCAGGACCGACAATGCGGATACATGACTGTCGATTTGTTATTTTATGACAGATTGTTTGGATCGACGAGCTTATCTTTCCGTTTCCACGACGTATTATGTAAATCTACGAGTAAGTAGCCGTATCTATAACCATCCATGGCGATCCATGATACATGTATGACCCACATATATCTTGATACGTCTATCTAAGCATAGTCATTATAGGAAATTTTCATTTGTTATGGAGTTCTTAACAAAATAATAATATCTGAAATGAAGAGAGGCCAAATATCTTGTGGTTTTTATTGAAAGCGTAACCGATTATCATATAAGCGGTTTCAATGCAATCAATAACTCCTATTCGCACGTCTGTGCGTTAAGACTGTTTTTCTCACCAAAATGACGGTCGCACTTGTCACAATAGCCACCTTTGTCGCTGCTAGCTTCATTTTCTTAGGGTTCGCCTCGCAGTAGCTCTTGGCGCTCGACACCGCACGAGTACTGTCGCCATTTTTAAAGCAGAAGTCACCCGATAGAATCCCCATGTCACGGGTACAGCCCCTTCATCGTGCGCCGAACCGCCAATCAAAATGTAGGTTTGCATTTAAATGTTATACTCCGGTCCGCATGAGGCAGATCGCCTCGATATAATAGCAGATCACCAGTCTTTATGTCGATCTCATGACTTCTAGACCGCAACGCCGCACCCAGGGTAGCGCCCAAAGCGACAACTAGCTTCAAATATGACCATAGAAACGTGGGCCGTCGCTTGCACCCATTCGTGACGCTCAATAGCCACAGAAGTGTCTGCTGAGATGAAGTCGTGACGCATGTGCTCTGGGGCACACCCAGGACCAAGCTTCGGCACCGAAAGTTTGGTTTCAACAGATCACGCTTGGTGGCTTCGCGAAGAGAACGAGTTTAAACGCTGGCTAATGAGTTGATAAGCACGTGGCATTAACCGCCCTCGTTGAGGAAGCTTCGTACATTGACGTAGCCTATATTCCCGAGCTCTACCATCGTTTTCACTCTTGCACGCTCAGCGGCTTCCTCCAACTCTGACTACTGTACCCCCAATTTAGGTAGTCAGAGTTGGATACAAGAGGTGTTTCCAAGATATCTTTTTTTCACGTTTTGACCAATCAAGGTTCGCTAACTCTGATATCCCTCCTGACGCTTGAATTGCAAGTGCCGGAAAAAAACAGCTCAATCCTGAATCCACGGATGCCTAGAAAAATATGAAAACAGCAGTTGCAGGATAGTCTCCGTGCTGCCTGGAGGAGCCGCCTAGCTCTTCGTGTGGACGACAGAGACTCCAGTGATGAGGATGACGATATAAACCTCTCTTCATTGTTCCTGGTGCTTGAATCTCAACGCTACCTCACCCGACGCAAGCGCGTAAAGCGCCCTCCTTCTCGGGTACATTACTATCTGACTGAGATGCCTGAAGACGAGCTCAAGCTCCATTTTCGCTTGTCAAAAAGCTATTTTCCGCTGTATGCCAGTTTATTGCTGGTCACAACAACATTTAGAGCATGGTTGGCAAAAACCTCAAAGCTGGGTGTGGAGTTACATGTGGTGGCGCTCCTCAAGCCATTTTGATCGCTGAACGGCCAAGGCCACGCAGCGGGCTTCTTTCTGTTGGAAGGCACACAGCGGAGTCATTTCTGACAAAGTGTATTATACGGGCATAACTTAGCTTTAAGCTGGATGTAGTTTGTAGGCCAGGAGCGGAGGAGCGTCGTGAGATCTCAGAGAGAATCGTTACGGCTTTGGTATTATTGACGGTACTCTAATTCCGCTTCTCCGGTGACTGGAGGACCACGGAGAAGATTTTTCTCGACTACTGTAAGTGCTGCTACGCTATCAATGGTCTCATAATTTGCGACGACTTTGGTCGTGTTCGCCTTTGAAAACATTGGTTGGGCAGGCTCTAGCCATGACAATCGTGTATGGCGGAACTGGAAGGCTGTCATTCATTTTGATACGTACTTTGAAGACGACGAGTACCTTATAGGAGATTCTGCGTACCAGCCTTCTTCAATTCTGATTCCGTCATTCAAGTGCAGTGGGGGAGGACAACTTTCTTTAAAAGAGATGCTCTTCAATTTACGACTAGCAAATATTCGAATCCGGGTGGAGCATTGCATCGGAGTACTAAAAGAGAGATCCTCTCTGCTAAGGCGACTGCATTCAAGACTGAAAAACGATAAATTTCTTGCGCAAGCGACACCCCTTATTCATGCGGCAATAATTTTGCGCAACATGGCGATTCACGACTGCATCCCCGAGGAGTGGGTCGACAAAGATGATGCTGACGACAATGATGTCGTCAACGTTGAACTTCTGTCTGGTGCTGCCAGTGGAAATAGAAGAGAATATCTACGCGACTACTTGTTTGACAAATAATTTTAGTATACGTTTATGAACAAACAAGTAATTCTTTTTTTTGTACTTTGCTCTGTCTTGTGGCTGCCACTTATTTCAAGTATTTAACTCGCGATCTGGTATTGGCAACAGTCGGTCGATGTCGTCTTGTTGTACCCGCTGTCTTGTAGCTTTTGCGAGAAAGTAGTAGCTGCACAACCGATTCTATCTGTGCAGTTTCTAGCTGCACCCTCTTTAGCTCTAAATCAACATCGGCGAGCGCTTCCTCACGAGCATTCTTTTCCTCCTTCAATTCCAGTTCTTTTTGCCTTAGGTCGCGTTCGCGACCTGGAGAAGCCAGTATCAACTTCCGCTATTCCCCCCGAGCACGAAGCACCTCCGCTTGCTGGTCTAGAAGCATCTCAACTGAATCTTGGGGGGGGGACTTTATTGGCGGGATGGGATGGCTGGACGGTTAGTGGACGGTAGGAACTCATTTGTAGTATGGTTGCCGTTCCGTTACGTACCTCAGCACTCTAAGAAGCATCAATGTCGTCTGACGTGACTCTCGGTCGGCAGGAAGGTCGGTTGATCATCACGTCATGTAATTCGTAGTAGTGAGGGCAACGTTTCAGAGTAGCAGCACGTAAATTTTTATCGTCCGAAATGCCAGCTACGGTGGCAGCTAGAAAGTCTTCCGCCTACCGGCACTGCTTCTCAAGAGTGTTGATCTTCTCGCAAGCACCAGCACTATCACGATGCGTGATGTCAGCTGCCTCCAACCTGTGCGCTATCTGGTTCAGCAGGGCCTCATTCATCTGGGCGTGGGTTCTGTCACTCCCGCGCCACTTGGCGTAGTTGGATGGGTCTGAAAGCGAATCTAGCACCACTCGAAAATCGAATTTACCACCGTCAACACCGTCGGAGTCCCAAAAAATGGGGGTCTTCTTCCCCGCTCGTGTCGTTCCGCAAACCACCTCGGACATAACTGCCTGGTCATCCTCTACCATGCCCCTGCGTGCCACTTTCTTTGCGTCTCATGTCCTCGTGGAGTCTCTCTTGCGCTTCCTCAATATGTTTCTATAGCTTCCGTCAGACCCTTGAGTCCAAAAGAGGTCTTGAAGGAAAATTCTAGGGTAAGATCTCTTGGAGTCCAAGAACATTTTAGCCAATGAAATCCAATTGGTAAATCATTTTCCTTCCAAGTAAATATTGTAGCTGATCTCACTTTTTATCACTTAAAAGCCTTCTTGTATCCAACTCTGACTACCCCTTTTGTTAATCGGGTTACGGTGGGCCTCTTGCTGAATCAGGAAGTATGAATCGAGCGGATACAGACCGCTTGCCTGTTAGCACCAACTTCTGTCGATTCGTATCGCAAATGATGCGGGACGTCTTTTTTTACGCAGAAATTGAGGTTGAAGCTGCCACACTTAATCTCAGTATGGTGTCCCGCTGACTTTATCTCGATCCTCGCTGTGACAGCATAGGTCGGTGAGTGAGCCAACTTATCATACACTTCTTCCGGCGCACTGCGCTTCCGGCTTTGGTCTGTGGTCGTTTCCGTTCGATGCATCATGTCATCCGACTTTACCAGGTCTGTGAGGCGAACGGACCGTGCTGTAGCTCGCTCACCGGGTCATCCGTCTCCATATCTAGACCGATTTTAGAATACCCTGCTTTGCAGGGTATACTTGTTAAGGTTACGAGTACCCCACGCAGTGATTCCGTCATCCGTGTGGGAAGCCGCTAGTAGGTTTCGTGCGCTCTTTATCTCGTGACGTCATGACTTGCTTCAGGGTAAGTGCGGTGCGGAATCGCGCCGTGAAGAGGACCCTCCTCGTTAAAGGATATGTCGATACGGCGAGGCGCTACCAGCAGCCGCTGTTAATAGCACCCCCCCTCACTCACGAGATCGAGGCGACGTGCTGGGCTCACGCTCAAATCCAGTTAGTGCCTAACTTACGCAATCCCGCAAGCTGACGCTCTACACAATTTGACCACAGCAGTACTTCCCCGCCAAGTGACCGTTCCTGTAATTTAAGACAGGAACAAAGTATCGTCTCCATGTCAATCTGAAAATTGGGCAACTCAATGCTTAAGAACTTCAATGAAGACCTATCAACAGGCACCAAATGAGATGATCTCGACGTATTCGGGTCAGCGCGAGTAAAATGAATGTCGAGCGAATGCAACCCTTGCCCTGAGGACACTGTTTGGGTAGACCACTAGGTTTCGACGTGCTGCGCCGTCTCGTTCTCAGTGTACGTTGGAAGTTGATACGGAAGTAAGAGCTTGCAGAACGCAAAAGAAGAAGTGTTATTAAAGCAAGCCCGATTGATTCGTGGCTTCAAATGCGTTTTGAAAGTCCAGAACTCAACTTACAAATCCTCAAACCCAAATTCGATTTGACCGTGATGGAGTTCCTACATTACTGGAGCTTGGCAGAAAGACGAACACGATTGATTGCTGAAAATCTGCGACAATATTTTTTAATCTACCGGCAATAAGTAGACGAACGAGTCGATCGAGACTTGGAAGCGCTTGTAAAGGTGCTTGGAATGAATCGTACACGCGAGTATCTCCACGTCGTTATTGCAGCGTCGAAACAAAAGTACAGGAGGTCATTGAGACAGCATCACCTCACGCCGATGAAATTACAGCTTTTCACCAAATGCAAACATGCGTTTTTGAGTGTGTGGACGGCGCGAAAGCCGCAACAAGAGGCAAAGAGAAAGAAAACGGCCGACAAACAACGTTCCATTGGGCGCTTTGAGTGTTGGCGCTCTAGTGGTGACCAATATTATCACGCCTATCGTAGCGCCGGTTCTTCGACAAAAATTTGTTGCCGCAGTCATGTCGCTACCACTAAATTTGTATAGCCTTCAATATATTATACCCTGTGGCACAATTTTCGACGATAATGTAGGTATCTGGATGACAATAATCAAATGCAGTTTAAAAGCAAAAAAAAGAAATTATGGAATCGGCAAGATGCAACGTACACAAAATTTGGGAAAACATCGGACAGCAGTATTATAAATAAATTCGCTACTAAGCGGTTTGAAACAGTATCGATTTTGTTTTGACTGCTGATGTCCTAAAAGTAGGAATGTTTTAACACATGTCATTGTACAATAAATACTTCTTTCACTGATGCAACCCCAAAACAGCCTCATGCAAAAATATTTTAACCAATCAGAATCAAATATCTTATTTACATAATTTCAGCCACTCAGGGCTTAAGTAACAATTACACTCCCAACATGCCGAAGGCGTCTTACGGCAGCGTCGCGACCAAGAAGTGCGAGTTGTGCGAGAAGGCAATATCTCGCTCCAAGCGCAAGAAGAGATACAAGGGCATTAAAGTCAGCGACGCTCAGGGTGATATCCGGAAGCGGCCGTGGAATAAGCACCGCGACATGCGTGCCAGAGAGCAGCGCAGTCGACGCGCTAGTAATTTATTCAAGAAACTTGAAGGAACCAAATATTAACAAAATCTAAATGTTGGTTTTTATAATATAATGTTATTTACAATTTAATTTATCGAAACCAGGGCTCCAACAGAACCTGTGCGAACTGCACGGAGAACCTCTTCCCCCTAAACCCGAGCCAAAAGAACTACGGAAGCACCCAATAGAGGTGCTAAGTCGTAACGCGACATTATTCGACTTCATTTTTTCGAAGGTATGTCTGCTGAGCAGCAGTTATTTTACTTTGACGGACGTACCGTGCTGTAGATGGAGAACGTAGACTTATTATCAAAGCTATGGTCAAAAAAATCTACCTGCTATTGTACCCTGACAAGCGCCACTGGGTATCGTTAAAGCTGCGTGAAGAGTCGGGCGTGGCACATATTCAGGAGACATACAAGGCAATGAGTGCGTACAAGGAGGAAAAGAACCAATCCAATCGTAAATAAATGTCTTCGGTGAAGCCAAGGACTGCTCAGCACTGACGGAGTTCGAGGTAGTCTAAACCGCTGGATTTATCGAGAAGGACAAAGCTTACGAGGCCAAGTTGAAAGTGCAGGAAGAGCAGATGACAAGCGCGCCGCTTTAGAAATACTTTTAGTATTGTGAGAATGAGTAAAAAACCAGTCAGGCTTGACCGACCCAATTTATGCTGACCTCAACTCTAATATGACGAGACTGTACTGTAAGATCTCAAGTCTACTATGGCAATACTGTACGTGCTATGACACTACTAAAAGTTCTACAACATGACTGTAAGTACTATGACAAGACTAAAAGTACTTTATTAAAGCGAATGGCTCTAGGCCCCACAATCCTTTGGGTGGACGAGGATTACAGATTCGGGCCGCAGTAGCGAGCTACTACGGCAGCTATGAGCGCCGAGACGAATCAGATCCGGACAAGTGAATGGTTATTACGTACGCAGCCTACTACACAAAGCACTAGCTGAACAGCACAGCAGGTTGAGCGTGAACGATCTCACAATTGATACGTTAGGCAGATACATTCGCCTTGACAAAAAAACGGGCCGTAAAGTCTTATCTGTAGTGCAAGTAATATCAGTCTTGCCACAGTATTTTTGGTCTTGTTTCGTACTTTTCATCTTATCATAGTATTTTTCATAGTACTTTTAGTCTTGGCTTTTATTTTTGGTCTTGTTTCACAGCTCATTGGTTTTTTCCGAAAAAAACTACCTTCAAAATTTTAGAGGATTTACATTTTTAGGATGCTAGAAAGTGTGCTATGATTCGTCATGCAATCGAAAGTTGCACGCATCGTTGTTTTAAGACACGGAAGTTACATCAGGCCAAGATCTAATACAATACCAAGTAAGTCGGAGAGCATCTTCCTTTCCCTCACATTTGCCGCTCACACTAAGCCTGGTCAGGGTTAGGTTAACTTTTCAAATGAGCTGTATCTTATTTAAACCTAACCGTTCATTTAATCAATAAAAGCGCTACATTATTTTTGGGTCCCGCCAACAAACTGTTTCATATAAAAGCAAACCCTTTTTTTTTAAAAAGATTGTTTTTACACAAAACTTTATTCTGAAGTATAATTCTTAAGTCCCTTGGATAACCGTATCGGACAATACCGGCAATCAAAGGATTAAAAAAAACTCCTCAGTCGTTGATCGTCAAAGGTTATTTTGCATTTTTGTCTCTTAGGGCCGTTCCGAACCAGGATCGCACGGATCGCGATCCGGAGTGAATAGGGGGAAAAAGGTGAAATCGCGATCTGGTCGTTCCGAGCCGGATGGCGCTCCACCGACAACTCGTGTACCAATTCTCGGGTGCATCTACACGAAGTTGCATTTGGCAAAAGCAACATGGCGACAGATCTAACAAGCTCGAAGTGGTCTGTTACCGCACCGCAGAGCGCTCGCAAGCGCACTATCCAGCCGACGACATCTGAGGACTATGCTGACTGGACGTTAGACCAGCTCAAGCTTGAATGCACCGCGCGTAAGTTGAACGTAGTCAAGAATACATGTAAGCAAGACCGCGTGAAGCTCCTCTCTGCCTGGGATACAAACAAAGACGGTGTTGAGCTTCTGGTCCGCCAACAGCGTAAGAGAGCGACTAGCTCACGCGAAGAAGAGGTGAAACGGACGAAGAACTGCATGTTCCGCCTGCTAAATGTGCTGTTTTCCGATCGCTTCTTTGATACATTCTTGGAGACTGGACATCAGCTGCGCCGTGAAGAGCTGGATCAAGGTGGATCTACATTCTGGACTGACGTAGCAACGGCATTTGGATCTGACAACAACGAGTTTGACACGCTAATCTCCGACGATGCGGTTTTTGAAGGCATCGATTCTTCGGTTGTGATGGCACATTCAGCTGCAAAACTCCAGCGAATGTGGAAAGAAGCAAGCAGCAACTTTGCACGAGCGGAAGCAGGATCCAAAGTATCGGGTCAAAATGGTCAAGACTTCTGGGATTATTGCAATGGACGGACAGATGTCTATTACGTGGATCGGTGGTGTGAGCACCGCCAAGCAGGAAGAGAATTTTGCGCAGCCAACGTTTATGCAGACAATGAAGACGACTCGACAAAAGAAGGTGACCAACAAAAGAATACAGCACAAAACCGGAAGCGACGCAAATCCTCAAATGCAAACGTCGTTGCCGACCTACTGAAATCAGTACACGAACTTCTAGAGAACGAGACCAGCAAAGCACAAGAAGATACGTGGTTGGAGCAGAATTTTTTTTTTCAACAACAGCGAGCTACTCACAAGCTCTCGACACTAACTGCGATGCTGGACCGAAGTATGACGGCGATAGAGCGCTTAAAAGAGCTTCGACGCGAGTATATCAGCAAGGGCATTGATGCGTCGGCAGTTGGCCTTGAACTGGCAGGCCGAGAACAAAAGAGGCTGGTGCTGGAGCAGAAGATTGACGAGCTTGAGTACGAAGTGCTGAACGGGTTTCATTGAAGCGATTTGTGGTTAGCGCACGCGGGGGCGTCTGAGGTTAAAATTCTGGATGTGGCTCACGATCACTTGACGAAGTATGCGACCTTGGGCATCGCTGCGCAAATCATCCGATTCGTAGTTGTCTGTTGGCTGGTATGAGCTTTCAGGGAGATTATGGTACGCTGCTGAAACAGCGTGAAGACTAGTTGTTGTGTTCTCAGCTTTTATGCTTCGATTGATGCAGAAGTTGTGAAGCTTCATACACGTTTTAATTACGCGGCCAACGTTTTGAAGTCCACGACAGGTGGTCGCTGAAATATTTGCCACTTGTTCACCAATAATCCAAATGACATCTCGATACGAATGCGTAGTTGGCTGAGATAAAAATTGAAGTCAGAATACTGCCTGCCCTTCAACTCCAACTTGGTAAAAGGCACAAGTAGCGAGTTCGATAATGGGTACGCATTATCACCAACGATATAAAACCCAGGTGGCAGCTTCATGATGTCCTTGCTCAGCTTCCACTTCTTGAACGCGATGGAGTCGCCCACCTTGCCGGGAGAATCGAAGCAATAGCTCGTAAAGCGGCACAACGAGTCACAGAGAGCTTGTACGTTTAGACCATACATTTGATAGTGTCCAGAATAAAACGCAGCCACATCAGGTACCTCTTTTGCGCTTGGGGCTCTAATTTGGCACAACCAGCCGTCAATACAACCCGCACAACCGCTTAATATCTTGTCTGTGCTGATGCTGGAAAATCCGTCTGCTAATTCCTGGATTCGATCCTCTGATTCCACGGGTGAGCGAATGCGAAGCTCGGGACACTCGCAAATCGCGGCCATGACCTCGTGTATGATGTCGTAAAACCCAGAAACCGAAGTACCGGCGAGACCACGAGTAGTGTGATAATTACTTCCTGCTAGCCACGAAATTGTTATCTGGAGCCTATTTTCTGGCGTGACAAATTTGATACCCGTCCGTCGAGATGACTGAAGGTCGTCACGAGCGAGAGCAGGTCGCAGCAGTAGCAAGAGGTGCTCGAACGACTCCACATCCATCCTGTAACAGCGCTGGAACTGTCCTTCTAATAGTAGGGTTTGCTTGTACACAGGCCACTCCAACCGTCTACGCTTGATACATTGGCCTTGTCCAGGGGGAAGAGCAGCAAGAGATCCAGCTATCAGCAGTAGGCAGCGACGGCGGCTAGCAGCAGCTTTTCTCGGGCCCTCTGTCCAACTTGCGAGAACATTCATCTTCTTCGCTGCGATAAAATCCGAAGATCCAGCCCTGCTTGCAATCCCAAGGTCAGATCGCAGCGATTGTCTAATCAAGAAAGTTACCCTTATCTTGACTCTGAATTGGCCAATCACAGAACGTTCCTGGGATTGCAAACCCGGTTCGGAACGGCCCTTAGGAATGCTTAGAACGGCGCAAAGCGAAGCTCAATTTCCGGCGTCTAAGCGTAAGTTTTAAACACTCTCCTAGCCTGATAGTAGCTCATTACGATCGTGCCACTTCGATGCGTCTTTTGTTTTTCGGGTAGCTTATGGTTTCTTGCATTTCCTACCTTCGAGAAGCTCATAAAAACTCGTATGGATTACGTATGTCAAGGCTTATACATGTATGCGAGTCCTAAGTGTTTACTGTACTGAAATTTAATTTAATGGTATTAATATGATGTGAATTCTTGCTCGACTAGCTGCGTAAAGACGCGGTGCAGCGCCGAGGGCATTTTGCTTTGGTGGGTGCCAGCGTAGGCGTAGCACTTGATCCTCCCGGGCAGAATGTCACATCAACGTTTGGCGTTGTGTCGGGACACGCGTGCGTCTTCCAGTCGTCTGTGGGATACTGATAGGCGTCAGCGCAGTCATCGGTAAGGCAAGTGATCGCCGTGCACCCGGACGGCGCGATTTGAATCGGTGTGTTGAAGCCCACTCCACCGGTGACTTTCTTGCAATCATCAAGCGAGAGGCAATTTCCTGGCTGCAGATTATACACATAGTTTAACATGTTAGAAGCTGTTAAGAGTTGCTGTTGTTGTACATTTTCCGCTTACTCCGCTCTGAGGACTTGTGGGGATAATACTGATGTCGTACCACAAAAATCCCCATGAAACCGAGAATTCCGCGACTGCAAAAAATCAATCACGTCAGTGCGTCTCTAGCTCAAGTATGCAGCATGACGTACGTGTTGCTTGGGGATTCCATCCGTTCCGAAACATCCCACTGAATCCCTCCTCAAGATTGCGAGTAGTGGTGCTGCCTGGATTGATCACCTCGATGTATGTGTTGTTGTACAGCTCAATTGCAGCATTGCAGTGATTGTTGAAGTGCACTGGAATTGCATTTGCCGTCGTGGCAGCACCCAGTAATGTCGCTACTAGCAAATAAGGTTGCATTGTTGAATAAACAAGTCGCTGCTCCACTAGCTGAAAGTTTTGCAAATGCATCACCATCGATACCTGCAGCGGTACCTTAAAGGATATTTCGGTTCACGTGAACAGGACCAGAAGCCAAAGGTATCTCGTCCTCGAGAAGATATTCCTAAAAATACGACAGTGGATTAAGTGAGCTTCAACGAGCTCAGCATCGTTCCCGATATAAAAATTCGAATCAGCCAATTATAGCACAAATGTACCAAAAAAAGTTGTGTACATGTAGTTTGGACCCGGACTTTTTACAAAGTGGGGATTCGAGTCAAATCGTCCAGCCGCTCGAAGTCGTCCTTAAGAGCCAAATCATTTTTTTGTTGCTTTTGCGACGCACCACGATGATCGCAGCAATGACACCGACGACAGTCACAGCACCTACCATCGCTGCTACAATGGTTTCCAGAGGAGGATCCGATGATGAATCATTTTTGGTTTTCGTTGTCTGACCGTCCGAGTCAATCGAAGGTGCATTTGTGGTAGATTTAATTGAAATTGTCGCTGCTGCTGCCGCTTGCCGGGTCGTATTGTTTTCGGGTGGGAACGTGATGATGCTTTCACTTTGAGAGCCCGAACCCGAGCCCGAGGACGACGAAGACAATGACCCCCTGCCAACCCAGGACGAAGAGGACGCTGCAGCCGCCACAGCCACTGGACTGTCTCTATGCTTCTCGGTTGCAGGAGTGATAAACTGGAGCACTTGAGCCGTGGTCGGAATCGGGATCGGTGTCTCCGTTGGAGCTTCAGTCGGAATGTGAGTGGGTGGATCGGTTGTCGTAGTCAAGGTGAAATCGAGCGAGGGGGGCTGAGTAGGGGCCTGTGTAGCTGTAGATTCTACCGTGGATGGCTGTGAGGTAGGGGTCTCCGTTTCAGGCGCTTTGGTCACTGAAACCGAAGTCGCTGGAACGGTCGTTGGAGCCTCAGTGACAGGGCTGTAGTGGTGACCGGAGTAGTGATAGGGGGTTCAGTCGCTGGTACCTGGGTAGTCGGGGTCGGAGCTTGTGCTGCTGGTCCCGAAGCAGGTGTAGCCGTTGTATGCGCTAGAGCTGTGGTGGTGCTCGTCAAAGTAAACGTACTGGTCGTACCCGAACAAAATGTCAGCGTAACACTTGCCGTATCGACACATGAGTGCGTTTTGCTATTATCACTTGGGTATTGGTACGCGTCAGCACAACCGTCTTCAAGACAAGTGACTACCGCGCACCCAGATGGAGCTATCTGCATGGGGGTGTTGAATCCTGTGCCGCCTGTCACCTCTTTACAGTCTTCCAAGGACATGCAGTTACCTGGACCAGACGACCCCGTTGGAATGATGCTGATGTCATACCAAGTGTAGCCGCCAGTGATGGAGAACTCGGCCACTGCAGTATCATAATTGGAATACGTTAGCTAACTCGCTATCAGTTTTGTCAACACCAGACTCTTATCGATGGTTAAATGCTGCTTACTGATTCCGTTGCGGAACATGCCACTGAAACCGGAGGCGATGGTTTCGGAGACCGAGTTTTCATAGAACGCAATGCTATCGCTGCACTGGTTTTGAATGGTCTGCGGAGTGGATTGCACTGCCGTGACCAACTCAGCGAGCCCCAGCATTAGGAGCTTTAGCTGCATCGTGCTCAAGCAAGCGTACGAGCTGTGTGATTCAAGCGTGAGGCCAGCGGCAACTTTGGAAATGAACGCGGACTTCACTACGCACCGCCACTGGACTCGGTGGGACCAATGCTATGAACGATGACAGACAACGGTGCGCTTACGTGCGCGCACTTTGCGTCATGAGTCATGAGCTAAAGCCGCTTCGACGAAGCCTTCGTCGAAGGCCCGGTACAGAGTCTCACGTGGCGTGCAACACTATAGGCAAAAACCACACATAAGCTAACTATACATGTAGTGGATGCACCACTGTGGCTTCCACATGCCTAGATGAACTGGCAATAGCGCGCCATGCATGAGAAAGAAGACAATGAGAATTTCTATTCAACCGATGTTAATGACAAAGGTTATTAATAAGAAGCTATCTAAATTTGGCCTCCGGATCTGGAGAATATCCTAAATCATGGCGGTCATTCGCCGTCGTCGAAGCTTGTGGTCCACATACAGTACATAACCTTGTGTACCGCAGAAAGATGCAGCACTATCGCATGCCCTGTACTTCTCGAAGAACATGAAACGGAAACACGGGGATGAAAGTTCTCTTCGGATTCCCTCCGCATGCCATCCATGGCGGTTCCGTTCAAAAACAACATACCACACCTGACATGCGAAGCTGAAAGACTAGTGGAGGGCTTCTGGCAACCGCTGGGGCCTTGGGCCAGTGTCGGTTTACTCACTTCATTACTGTCGGCCAAGAACGTACACCTTTCCTTTGATAGCGCTTTGCAATGCAGCTCGTGGTTACCACCAGCGTATTTGCCCTCAGCGTGGCGATGATGGCCCGTGCGACCACGCTCAATATCTACAATCAGTGCGATGAGAGTATCGAGCTCTACGATAACTCGGCAATCGAGACAATTGCAGTTGGCAGCAGTACGACCCGTACACTCATATCAGGGTTCAACGGCATGTTTCGCAACGGCGTTGGGCCGCAGGCCACACGTACGTTCGTCTTTATACGGGGTTGGAAATGTTTTTTTTTTCTGGTAACCTCGAATTTCCTTATATTGTAGTGGCCGAGTTCTCCATCACGGGTGGTTACACCTGGTACGACATCAGTATCATCCCGACAGGATCAACAACTGGGCCAGGCCACTGCGAGTCACTTGAAGCTTGCAAGGCCGTCACAGGCGGCATCGGTTTCAACACCGCTATGCAGATCTCACCCGCGGGATGCACCACCGTCACCTGTATGGCCGACGGCTGTGCCGATGCATATCAGCATCCTAGCGACGGCACCAAGACGCATTCGTGCTCTGACACCGCTATCATCGACCTGATCTTCTGCCCCGGTGGAGACATCTCAGCTACCATGACTTCACCTCCAATAACTTATTCTGGAACCTTTGCGCCAATGACGATACATGAAGCTTCTACTCAGGCAACAGAACCTCCGGCCACCGCATCGCAGCCTCACCTTCGATTTCCACTACGCCCAACGCCACAGCTCACGCCTGCTACCATTGCCTCAGGCTGAGCCCTACCGTGTCCTTCAACAGCATTCTTTCTTGCTTCGTACTTCGAAGTACTACTTCTAAAGTAGTATTAATACATGTAATACTATTAGAACATGTACAAGAACATGTGCCGGTATTAATATTTGAATCAAGTGTGAAGATTTTAAAATACCGGTAAAAGAAACCTACACTTTTTGGAGCTAGCAGCGAAACGGTGCACTGATAAGCGTGTTGATTTGACTGACGTGGTGGGCCGTGGAGTCCCTGAAGTAATGAACCACAGTGGTTCACATCGACACAAGTCATTGGCACGACCTCGTTAGCAGACAAAAACACTGCGGTAATCGCTGGTAAACAAGCAGAAGCCACACAGCCGCCTTCATCTTGCATATGGCGCATCGGGAGGCTACATGTACTATAGCACGACCGAGTCCTTTAAATGAGCAATATAATAGGAAACTTACTGCAAAGGCGCAAAACTTCGGTGAGAGATCGTCTGCTAGCTGTACAATTATTTCGTCCATGCACAATTTTTGAAACCGGTCCATGTATTGCACCGGGCACCTCTGCATTTGCAGTCACAGATAGACTGGCTCTATTCGTCGACAAGACGAACACTTAAATACAGAAACCAAGTGTGGTGACATGTGACCAGATGTGCTTCATAATCTCAATTGTTAAATCTTGGGAAGAGCACGCACGGAGGTGGCGACAATGTAAAGATCTCAATTGGATTTACATTAGAGAGCTGTAAGCATACCGGGTACACTGTACAGTAAATTCTGTCCTTAATAAACCTTGAGAAACCTGATATCCTGTCGTATCTGACATAACTCAGGTCCATAAATCCGGAGTAAACTTGATATTGCTCAAATGACAAACCTGATACGAAATTTGAGGAGAGTATGCGTAGCCTACGACTACGAAGGGGTGGTGGAAAAACTTGTAATTAGCTTCATGTCAGTAACCAGCACCCAGCAGTCCCGAAACTGTTTGTATCATTCTTCGACTGCGTAGAGAGCGATTTGTATGTGTTCTCGACGCAGTCGAAGTTGAGCCTGAAGCAAAAAAGTTGTGATTCCTGCTTTTTATCTTTCCAGCAAGCCCTCAAAAACCAGTATTTAGCTACTACGAACACATTCTCAGGGTCAAGTGCCCTTGCCCCAACTACCGGGCGCTCGCTCATTTTGTTTGTCGTTGTTGCTGTTGTTGTTGTTGTTGTTGGAAGCGCTTCCAACAGGTTAGATTTCGCTTTTATTTACTGTAACAGTGGACGCGAAAAATATCTCAATTGGATGTGCTACATTGCTCAACAAAAAGTCCATCGTCTATGAGATGAGAGCGGCCCCGTCAGACGAGAAATAGAATTCTCAATGGCCTGGCCACTGGCCGAGAGGGATTATTTAAGCTGAGTCCTTGTAGACGTATGAATTACAGCTAAGTCAGGCAAGGAGAGACCTCCAGTCAGCCACGCTGCCGGCGAAATTCGCTGTCTTTGGTAGCAAAACTCACAAACGGGTCTTCTGTTGATGGTGTTAACGCAAGTCATGCATACAATGAGGCGTTGTTTGCTGCAAGATAGTTAGTCAGATGTGCGCTCACGATGCCGCAACGGACTGCGCAAAAACTTCGTGAAGCTACAGCACGTAATAGCTACTGTAGAGGTGGTGGCGCAGCTACTCGAGCCGCATTTAAATCGCTTCTGAAGTTATTGATCGATGCCTATTTTGCTGTTGCCCGCGATAATAAATACAGACAGGTTCTCATTTTTGTCACTTTTAGTACCAACCTTATGGCCAATTGCGGGCTGACTCTTTCCAGCTGTTATAACCTTTACAAAATCCAAGTAAAGCTTCATCAATCGCCCGTCCTCTGCACACCGAAAAGATCAGTGTGATGCCACAGGTGGCATCTCTTGCATGGCGTGCAGTCGTAAGAATGCTGTCGTGCCTGGCGTATCCGTGGACAGACAGCGAGGTCCGCCCACATTGATAAACGCTAGCTGCCTCCTGCATCGTACCGGTCTCCCTATTATAGCGTCCAATATGCAGATCCAGGTCTCCGTCGCGGCGCTCTCATTGGCGCTGGCGGCGTTCTCTGCCGAGGCCTCCGTGCCCTTGACCATCATCAACCAGTGTAGTGAGAACGTCGACCTGTATGATAACTCGGTCGTCGAGACCATCGCACCCGGCGGCTCCACCAGCCGCACACTTGCTCAGGGTTTCAGTGGAATGTTCCGCAACGGCGTCAGCTCCCAGGCCACTCGTACGTTGCCCTATTCCAACTTCCGTTTCAGGGGATAATAGTGTCTAAGCTGTTTGTGTGTTGCGAATGCAGTGGCCGAATTTGCCGTGACTGGTGGCTTTTTGTGGTATGACATCAGTATCATCCCCACGGGCAGCGTCGGCGTAAGTTGTGTAGTTTGTTTGGTAGGTTGAGATGAATCTGTGGCTGATGAACGTTGGTGTTGCTTACAGCCTGGCTACTGTCCGTCGTTGGAGGAATGCAAGGCCGTCACGGGTGGCACGGGCTTCAATACACCCATGCAGATCGCCCCGTCAGGATGCCAGACTGTCACCTGTCTCCAGGATGGCTGTGCGGACGCGTACCAGTTCCCTAAGGATGACACCAAGACCCACGCGTGTTCGGACACGACCTCTGTGGTGGTGACCTTTTGCCCCGGTGGGAGCGGAGGATCGACGCCCTCGACCTACGACTCCACGCAGCAGCAACAGCAGCAGCAGCAGACGGCACCGGCCCCCACCACCGCTGCTCCGACTGCACCACCCACTCAACCCCCTACACAGGCTCCTACGCAGCCCCCTACACAACCTCCTACTGAGGCCCCTACGCAACCCCCTACTGAACCTCCTACCCAACCGCCTACGCAACCGCCTACGCAGCCACCTACTGAGGCTCCTACGCAGCCCCCTACTCAGCCCCCTACTGAGGCCCCTACGCAGCCCCCTACCGAGGCACCTACGCAGCCCCCTACCGAGGCACCTACGCAGCCCCCTACCGAGGCACCTACGCAGCCTCCTACCGAGAAACCTACGCAGCCCCCTACCGTGGCGCCTACGCAGGCTCCGACCGAAGCTCCGACGCCGACACCAACGGAGACACCAGTTCCTACCACGGCCGCCCCAAAGCCCACGACGGCGACACGTAGCAAGCAATCCGCGTCTTCGAACTCCACTTCCGATGATGACGAGCAGGAGGCTGCTACTGTGACGCCTTCGAAGGTATCCAAGACTGGCTTAACTACTGCCACAACGGCCCCAGAAGCTCAGGTTATCTCAGCGCCGTCAACGTCCACGTCCTCCAAGTCTGATAACACGGAGACCGTGAACACGCAGGCTAGCGCTGGCAACGGCACGGGTACAGGCACGTACGTCGCTACGGGTCTGGGAGGCTGTGCGGTGATTGCTGCTGTGGCTGTGGTGGCTGTTGCTCACAAGAAAAAGAAAGAACTGGACGCCACAGAGGACAAGGATTACAGCCAGGATCAGCTTATGACACCTGTGACACAGATCAATGTGCTGTAAGTCGTGCGTTTACTCGACTGGGGGTGTGTACACCCCTGGAGCGAGTTACACCTCAGAAATATCTCTCGGGTGCTCGCTCGGCTAGACAGTTTTGACAAAGGTATCAAGTGTAGATACGAGCGACTTCGAGTCAAAGTTCGCTGACTTTGGTGGATAGCGTGTACTTGTATTTGAATCTGAACCAGATCCGCATATTTGAATGTCCGCTCTAGCAGCTCGATTCTCGTGATCTCTTTTGAAAATTCACATCCACTACTACTGTACACAAGTAGGCTTTTTTAAAGAGGGAGCCTAGATACTACGTAGTACTACTTCAAGTAGTAGTAGTAGCTGGTAAAAGCGTTATTTTTTTTAACCCTTTCGCACCTTTCAGCTCTACTAATAGCACTACAAGTAGTACTCTTTTCCTGTACCAACTTAGCTCTACGTAGTATTATATAAAAGCCCTTTCGCCTTTCAGGCTAAATAATAATACAACAATTAGTACTATTTTCTATTTCTTAGTACTATTATGTATTATAAAAGTACTTTAATTAGGACCTCGTTACACTTTAGGTAAGCAGGTTACAGATACAGTATATGCTCCCTATTCCGGTACTGGTATAAATTAATGGCAGATGCTACTGTCCATGCGCCGACTATATGCTTTTACCATGCAGCCACGCCAGGTGTTGTCCATAAATTACGTTCTGCGTAATTTATATCCATACTGAAATCAAGTATTTACCGCCGATCAGTTTTTCACCGCATCAAGTTGCTGCTAAGTTGCATTGTCAATTTTGTCGTCCATGTATTGAGCCCACGTATAATCCATAAATCACCCGTGCATTAGGCATGAGCACGAACACAGGTAACGTTAGTATTATAGTCCATGTATCGAGTCCATGCATTGGTCAGATATCCTCCGTGTATTTAGACTCAAATTAGATGGGTTAGTTAGATCTACCATGGAGCACTAGCTGAAGCATGTAAAAGCGCAATATCGTGAGACCTTTTGGAGTTACATCCAGCGCAATGCTATTGTCTACCATTCGCCAGAGTCGTAGCATTACGAAGAAACCACAGTTGTGGCCGTCCGTCTGAATTAGCGCGTTGATGGATACAACCTCATAGTCGTCGCTCAGGGTTTTCGCCAAATCTCAGGACAGTCGATCCAGCACGGTCTTGTAAGTCCTCTGGTTCATGGAGTCATAATAAAGGACTCGAGTTCGCTTCACATCTACTGCAATTCCGCACCAGTGCGAATTTCCAACGTTAACCGGGATCATAAGGAGGTCTGCCTCTCCCACCAGCTCTTGCGCTTTTTTTCTTGAGGGATTCATTCATGCCCTTGGCATTTCGCCCCGTCACCGTGCTCTCAATCCCCAGAACACGAGCAGTAGGGTTTGTTGCACACAGTCTTGTGCAGAAAGCATGTATCAAGGCGTCGTTCGCCCAGGACGGTGGCTTCAAGCGGTATAGCATCGCGTAGTGATACTCAGTGGCCTCGATCACGATTGTGCTCTGTGGGTTCGATTTCGCCACTTGGTCTACCAAGGTTTCCAGCACAGGATGTTGCACTGAAGGTATGGTGCTTATCACGTTTTGAAGCAGCCAAGTGCAGAATTTGGCACCTTGCTCGCATTTGTCCTTCATAGTCGACAGATAACACATTGCCTCAATATGGGCTCGTGAAAATGTTCCAATACCTGAAATTTGAACACATTCTATCTCCAGGTTTTGTCCATGAATCTCCAGGTCTTGTCCACGTAATTGCGTGTCATCACTTTCAGCTTGCGAAGGCTGGCTCTGGGTGAAGATCTCGATTGCAGTCTCTCTTGTGTTCTTCACTGAAAGAACGGAGAGGCACTTGTCCAGCAGCTTCTTCGGGAGAAGATAGAACGCGTTGTCGTTCAGCACAGGGGTGCTCTGTCGAACATACTTCGGTTTCTTGTTACTCGCTCTATCCCACTTGGTAGGAATTGGGCTTACGCGGTCTAGCGTTTCCTGGAGTGTCGGTTCTCCCTTTGTAAATCTTGAGCAAGCTGTACTAGAGTAACTTCCCCCATTTTTCGGCGATGCTCCTCAGACTCGTTAAACAGTGCCCGTTTCTTCTTGTCTTCGGCCTCGCGCTCTTTCGTATTTAAACGAGGTCTTCCGGTCTTTGCAGCCTTCGGGTTCAACCTGATCGACAGTTCTGCTGGTGATTTTGTGTCTTGGTCATCGCCATCAGTCTCCACGAAAGGATTCGAGTTTGTGATTTTGATACGCTTCCGCTGTCTAATGTTCGTCCACTGTTTGAGAGGAAAATCAAGATGCTCTTTGTACTCGTCCTCGTCCTCTATATCTGCCAGTTCGTTGCAGATTGCTTGTGTAGCACTGAGCGCCTGTCTGTACTTGGTCGCTGCATCGAGTGCCTTCCGCTTTGTTTGGCCAGGCTTGAATTCATTTACAACTATAGGTCTAGGCATCTGCTTTAGCTCTGCAGGATGTAACCACCTGTACACATTCGTATCGAAGGGAATGCCAGCACGACATGTTAAATACTGGACGAAACATGTACGATGCATGGATAATACATGGACATCGCCATAGGCTCAGCTACTCACCGCTCATGGATCCGACTCAATGGAATGACACTTCCGGACACCTTTTTCCACTTTCGGTAGGCGATAGCATGCTGACAGGGTAAACGCATAGCACACGCGAAGGAACACGAACAGCTTCAGTTTGACAAGTCCACATAATGCTCCATGTGTTTTCCAGATACCACCACGAAGCCAGGCTTGGAGACCGTATCGTAGACGAAAACTTCGGCCACGGACATGGCCATCAAATACTCCTTCTGAACGTGCTCTGCGACAAAGTGAGTCGAAAACCGCAGCACTTGACACAGCTCTTCATCGTAGTTTCGGTTTACTCGCAGTCCCACGCGATTCTTGCGGAACAAATACTCACTAGACATTCGTGCGTCAGCTCCCACGAGAGCCTTGATCGTTTCAGTCCTCGACATTGTGTGGGTAACCGAATCCTTAAAGTGGCCGAACCAATTCTCCAAGTGGTTGTTAGTGTGGACGCGCAAATGTGCAAGCCGAGCCCGTTCGTACATGACCCACATGTCTGTACATTCATTCCAGTTTTCATCCATGTATTCCAGAAAGCTATTGAATCGTATCTGTGCGCACAGTGTCTTCATCGACTCCCAATTCTTTGTGTATATGTCTTTATTCACGGAGTACACCATATTATGCACGAGTGTATCGATCGCATCATGATCATCTTGCGATATCTGCCCATACTCAGGCTTTCTGGAAGCTGTGCGCAGGTACTTGATCACATGAAAGAAGCAGATCAACACACGCGCCTTGGGGAAGTACTTCTTCAGTACGCGAATCTCGTGCAAGTCTTTATCGACCATGATAACTTGCACCTTTTCGCCGATCTTATCATCTACCCGCAACAGGTGATCTAAAACACGTGACATGTGCCAGTCGGCATTTCGTTCGATGAGCGAATGTTGAATTGGCTGCCCACGACCGTTATCGTCAATGACCATCAAAGTACACAGTTGGTAGTTGTACCTAGAACACGAGCAGATTGATATGAGATAAAGATCAATAGATGGACAATACATGGACAATACCTAGACAATACATAGATATAACCTACCGGTTGGTCTTGTGAGTACAATCCACTAGCAACAACTCGGGGAAGCGTACGGTCATGTCTTGCTGGTGCCTCGAAGTCATGCTCATGACACCGGAGTGCCCAGCGTCAGTCTCGTCCACAGTCGCCACGTTGCCATCCATCGCTGCAAACTCGGTAAGTGCTTGTGCGCAGGTATCATCATCGTCGAGTCCGCCTCGAAACTCGGCCTTGACACGCTGGACAATGTTGTCCACGTCTTTCTTAACCAGGCTTTCCCCTTTGTCGAGCAGGTACTCGTAAATACGAGCGCGCTTGCGACCGTACTTCACCATTTCGCGCACGGTGGACCTTGTCTCAGAATCCTCCAACTTTCAGTTCTCTGCGTAAGTTTTGAAGTGGGCGGTACCCACGACGTGGTTGTGGTAATAAACCCCGTTCTTCACTCGAAGCAGCCACTGGCCTTCCTCTTCCACGACTTGAACCACGAACCGAAAAGGACACCCAGTGCCACGAACAAACTGCTTCGGCCGCACACCTGTGCTCCGATCCTTCGTCCGCCACCCATGCGTACAAATATATGTGCGCTGGTACGTTGCCCACTGGGTCGGAATGTATGGTACGTCAAGACCTTTTCGTGCAGCGACAGTTTTAGCCAACCGCTTGTTCCGCAAGTCGCAGCTTACAGTCATGGAAACTCGGATGATCTGCCGCGTTGAAGATGCGTACTTCTTCAAATAGACCGCCCAGTCGGCCCAGCTTGAGTGAAGGGCTTCCGGGGCACAAAAAGGCACTGGACAATCTGAAACCTGGACGCTGCATGGACGTTCCGCATTGTCGGTGCCCGACTCGTCGGAGTTCTCAGAGCCTTCTGCAGAGTTCGTAGGAGCGGAAGGAGCAGCATCTGGCGCCTCTTCGCTCGAGCTAGCCTGTTGAGGGCACGTAGTTAGCAAAACCGACATACGTATGAGATCAGGTAGTTATGCAACGCACCTCTGGCTGACCTGGCGCGGTTTCTGAGGCCGGTGATGGCGGCGTCGGCAGTGAAGAGGGCGCGGGAGGCTCCAGTGGGGGAGCTTCAGACTTGCTATCCGACATACCGGAGCGGGGGAGGGCGGCAACGACGTGCACAGCGACGACGGTACCGGAAGCTCCGGCTTATCGAAAGTGAAGTGAGTGGCTGTGCTAGCCCTCAAAATCGTTGAGAAGCATGGACATTTTACATGCAAAATACATGTATTTTACACAACCCGTAATTTATAATTTTCAGGTCGGTAGTTTTACAGCCTGGACAATACATGGATGGCCACCTGGACAATTCATATACTCAGCGCATGGACGATAGCATTTACGTAAATTAATCCCCTGAAATTTTCGATGTAATCATTTTAAAGAGGGAAAAATTGATTGGGCCTCTGATAGGGGTCTCTCGGCGCCAGTCATTTAATCTGCTCGCTTCACGCAAAGCTCGCATCTCACACAACAGAGCCCGCAACGAGCAGCGCATCTAGTCATGGGGAGATGGATGAAGATACAGCAGAAGCGTGGGCTTATCCAGAAGGCAGCTGATTTCCCCCAGCATGACGCA